CGATATGAAAAAAAAAATAGTTGGAAGGTGTTTGGCTCTTTTTTTTTTACATTTGCCGATGTATTACATCAAATAAAGTGTTTTCGCCTCGTAAAACAGTCAAGAGAAAGTTTCTAATTAAACGGTAGTCTACAGAATAATGACGTTTACACTTGGCGAGATTTCAAACGCTGTTTTCAGTGGTTTGATGCATCAAACAATGAAATTTTTAGGTCTAAAAAACGTGTATAACAAAATACAGTAGTTTGCGCATAAAGTGATTTAAAACGTATAAACCTGATTTAAAATAATTTCGATTTAAAAAAAAAATCTGACTTAAATCAAAATAAATCTTACTAATTATAAACCATATTTGAATGTCTTACTTATTATAAACCATATTTGAATGTGTTAACGTGCTTTATTGTACATTCCACCTTACACAAAGCCGCAGCGGACGCTACGAGCCATCGGAGCCAATACAAGGCCGTGTGAGTCTTATGTGACCATCGCGAGGGAGCGCAGTGACGTGTGAAGAGCGTGTCACGTGATACATTCACAGAGCCGGATTGGTTGGGATGGCTGGTGTCCGCCGCGATCGGACTTAAAGTGAAATTAAATACGGTTAACCAAAAATAGATATTTTATTTTATTTTATTTTTAATTACGACTGGCTCTTGTTACACCACCATTCGGGAAACAAAATACCACATTTTTTTAAATATCCTTAAGTACAACTATTCAAAAGTTCTTATTTCTATACAAGCCTTGTAGTAGGAAATGTTCACGTCATCGGAAACACGTAGACGGTAATGATCCGAGAGCGCACGGAAGGATACCAGAGCGCTTGGAGACCTGAGAACGCCGAGCTCTAGTTGCAACGACTAGCGGGTAGAACAAACGATAGCTGCCTTTTTCTCAATTTCACTCATCGAAAGGAGGATCGCAAGCCGAGTGGTCTACCGCACACCAGCTCGGAGCACCTGGAGCGAAAGCTCGCGCTGCAGAACCCAGGAATCCTAAGTTCAATCCCCACCCCTGCCCGTTTCGATCTGGATGAGCATCGTACCGGCGTGCGGTCATGTATCACTACTGCGTGGTGCACGTTAAAGACCCCAGGCTGGCGGTTGGACTGAACTGGCTAAATTGCTATCTACAGCTGAGAGACAAGTCGTTCATTAAAGGCAGACTGACTTTAAGGCTGTTACATACTCACAACCAATTCTTTTTTACTCGAAGAACACGTTAGAATACGAAAGCCAAACGCAGGACGCCAGCGTTCTGCATTCTAACGGGTTTAACGAGTGTGGTGGAGACGAAAGTTATACGTAAGACACCGACGTTCCGAGTTCCAAGGTTCGACGAGTGCAGTGGCATAGCCTCCTGAATACTGACGAAGCCTGGCAGGTCACCACGAGAAACGGCCGCCGAAATGGAAAATATGGAGCGGCACGCAACGGATGAAAGGAGAGTCACGTGACTTGCGCCCCGCTGCGGCGAGACGCAGAAACACACTTCTTTGCGAGCGGACAAGCGTGTTTCGGGTCCTCGTCCTCCAAAGGCTGCGCGGACGTGCAGGTTCCCTCAGAAATGGCTTTTTGATGCTCTGTGCTACCAGACCCTCGCGCTCCAAATCTGCGACCGGGCACCCTCTGGCTCCGTCGTCGAACTGCCAGGCTTTGTGAGTATAGAGGAGGCTATGGCAGTGGAGACAAAGGCAGGTAGCTTTAGGTATTGCCACAAATAATCCTAAGCAGACCTAGGTGTTCTGACGTCCCCGCGCTCATTCGTCTCCTCCCCTCAGTGTATCGGCGCGTCGTAATATTCACAGTGCTGAGCAGAGGCGCGTTGATGTCAGTGAAATGGAATACAGACTCTAGATCACCCGCTGCCCATAGCCGGAAGCAGAAAAAGACACGTCTAGAAAATTCGCATTCTAGGTTACTGAACATAAATGAAGCACACCACAGCACGCTGTGAATTTCTTGCGGCGGATGAATATAGCGCTGCACGGACTCATTTATCACTGCCGCCTGATGTGTAGCATTTCGTGACGGCAATCCCTTGAGGAATTATAATTGCAGATATAAAATCAGAAATTCATATAAACTGCAACATACTACTTCAAGTTTTATTTTTATTTTAATTTAATGGGGGACCCTTAAAAGTTAAAGCTAAATAAAGTATTTTTATTACAAGTTTGAGGCCTCGTAAGATATTATTGAAAGCCAAATCGAAAGATGTAATTCCGCGAAGTTGTGAAGTCTTTTTCTATTGTTATTATTGTCGTTTGAAATCAACCACTCCGACGCCAATGGGTCCAGTAGCTGCTTAGAATAAGTACGACAATTTGTCATAAAAAATGCATGGGCTCTTCTACAGTGAAATCTTCTTAAATGGGTCATGAAATAAATTCAGGTTGGAATGATCATGAGTTTGCAGAGACTTAAAAAAGCTTCTTTCTCGAGGTGAAATTGCGAGGATAAAAGGGGACTACTTATTTCAGTCTTGCTTTTTCAGAGCTCGACGACGGATTTGTGGGATTAAAACAACAAGCATGACGGCAGTCGAGCGCGGTTCATGAATTGGACACGGAACTGAGCAAAAACTCGACTTCGGCTCGGAACCATAAATGCCTCGTCGGACACTCGGGAGCGGTTCGTGTCCAGCAACTGCAGTGATAGGGATAGCCGAAGTCTAACAATGCCTGGAGCTCAGCACGCGTTTTCTGCTTCGTTAACCGCAGCGCGTGTCTATGATTAACGTTGGCGGCACGTGATAGTCAAAAGGTCACGTGGCCGCTTGCACTTTCTCCGAGTTGAGGAGATAAAATATGCTCATATTTCCTGAAATCATTTGGCGACTGCCATTGCATAGACAGAAAAAACTAAGGCAAGCTTACTCAGTCAGTAGTATTTGGCGAAAGTAGAAATAGTAGTACTCAGCAAAAGTAGAAAAATCGTTTCATGGCTTCTTTAAGATGACAAGTAAGCGTATTTGCACTACTGATTCACACGACTACTGACAACCCTATTTTATGTTCTGGCGATATTTCTGGAATAACCTCCTTTTGAACGAATAGAACATTTCGGGAGACAGATTTCTCTTAATGTTTAAGGTTATGCCGTGGCATTTGACTGCACAAAATTACTTGGTGCCTTCCCCTTTTGCCTTTGGCATGTTGTTTTGCAAAGCGCGAGGCCCACACAAGCGCAGCAGCCTCCCGAGTCGCCTGCTCCACTCAAACGTACGCCTAATTATATAAGGGCGCGCGTCGAAAGGGGAAGCAGCGGCGCGGCAAAACTTAAAGGGGCGATGCAACAATTTTTGTACTTTGCGCAAATACCACTTCGAAGAGATCCCTGATGTTAATGACCTATGAAACACCCGTCCGTTTTTCACCCCACACAACAGAAGTCCCAGAAAAAAAATTAAAGAAAAACGAGAACGTTCACCCCTTCAACTCGAAGCCAGAACAAGTGGCCACGTGATCTGGAGCCGATGATATGCCGCCAATGTTGACCATAGCCACGCGCTGGGGTTGGCAAAGCACAGAACACGCGCTCAGTTCCAGACATTGTTATGGCTCGGCTATTGTCGTCGTTGCAGCGATTGGACACGGGCCACTACCCGAATTTCTTCTCGAGCTAGTAATTATCACGAGCCCAAATCGAGTTCCCACGCAATGCTTGGGTCCAATCTATGAACCGCATTCAAATATCGTCACTTGGGGTGCATTGCGATCCCCACGTTACGTCATCAAAATTTGCAAAGGAGAGATTAAATGAAAAAGTTCGCTTTTGTCCTTGAAATTACACCGCAACAAAGGAGTTTCTCAGCCAGTGGCGTTGCGTGCGAGTATCCTTGAGTCCCACTAGTGCCAGTAAGCTCGTGTATAGTGAAAAACATTCCAACTGAATATCGTTGCACAGCTCCTTTAAGCCGGACAGCTCTATACTCTTCGTTCAGCGTACTTGCGGTAGACCACCGGTAGACTAAGCCCTTACACCGGTCCCCGTATCAAGAAAAAATAAAGTTTCTCTGATTGTTCGTACGCCGCGCGAAGAAGTTCTTACAAGATTTGGTCGTCGGAGGAAAGAGCAATGTTTCGGCCATTTTGTTTTTAGCCCGAGACTGAGGCAGGAAAAGTGGAAAGTCTCGGGCTAAGAACAGAATGGTTAACATCCACCAGCTCGCCTGCGTACTCACTACATTATCAATGTTTCGGCGTTTGAAACGTGTACGTCTTGATAAGATAGCACATGTATCTAATCTTAAATTGACCTGCATGTATCTTAATTGTCCACATAAAGGGAAAAGCTAGTAATGCTTTGCTAGGAGCCGGGCTTTTTTTACTGCGGTTCTTGAAGGGAAAACGAGTATTGTGCTTTCATGTTTAGACTGGGTAGTTAACATTTGTTTGCTCTGCACAGCAGTTAAAGAATTTGGTGTTCAACATTTGATTTGATGTTGGAAAAATGTTTCGGGGCACTATTCTCCACCATTCGATTCGAATGCGATTCGTGCTGACCTTTAACGCTTTGCATGCACGCCTATAAAAATATAAAATGTTTCCTCAAAATTTCCAAGAAAGACGTCATAATAAAAAAACTAATAAAAAAAACTCAACAATCGTGAAAGCACTTTTATGTGCAGGAACACCTGCCATTTTAATGCATCTCCCAAGAACGCAGATATGTTTGCACTTGTTCAAAGGTTATCTTTCATCATATCCTGGTTGCCCTTTAAAGTCAGCAACAAAATGCGTGAGATGAGCACGCTGGACTCAAAACAGACCTTCTGAAGAATAGATTCCAGTGGCTACTGGACGGGGAAACGTACAAGATTCAAAGGTGCGTTAATCTTTATGCGATAGTTTTGCTGAAAACATGAAATAATAATCGAGCATTTTAGGATTTTGATAATATATTACGCATGCTCTTTTCATTCTTAGAAACGGTTCTACAGAAATTCAAGAAGCACCTCACTGAACATTGGTTTTTGGATATCTCTTAGGTTTAAAAAAATTGTTTGTCATGGACCGAAGGATAGCAGCACTGATCTTCGTGGTGACAGCATTCGCCAGTTCAAGGACTGCGGAAATCAATGGTATTATGCGCCAATTTGCAAGTAGACCATGATGATATTAACAACAATCATTTAGTTGTTTCACCTTAAAAAAAAAAAAAAAAAAAAAAAAAAAAACTTGCATTGCAGCGTATGTTGTTGCGTTTTTGAGAGACCGTTCTGTAACCAATGAGATGAATAACTGCCAAGTAAATCCACACGGAACCCATTGTCAATCAAAGCTTCTACAACACAGAGCGTAACTTGTAATTCCAGGCTTCTTGCTTCGTGGTTCGCTCAATAGCAAGTTTATTGGCCAGTGCAGTAACATATTTCACGGCAAACTATCACAAAGTTATTCAGATTTTCCACGCTCTGAATGTTTTTAACTTTCAGTGAACTAACTCCCTGGCAGTTGTTTTGAAAGCCAAGTCAGTCACATGCACCAAGCTTGTCACAAACAAAATATGAGAGATATGTCCGTCCTTTCATGTGTCTGTCGAGAATAATGACTTCGACGATATTAACACACTCGACGTTTGGTCCACCGAGTATCTTTTTCGTCCATTGTTGACATTCTAGAAGTAAAATCGGGTGAATCGGATGATGTAAATCATTAATCAGGCCATATTGAGTGCACACTCTATTACCAGAGTGTTCGTGGCCTTCGGACCAAACCTTTTGGATTTATGTCTGAAATTGCAGTCAATTCATACGCCATTTTTGCCTTACTGGGACTTGTCTAGAAGACAGTATCCTAGTTCTCAATATTTGCTTCCATGTTACTCAGTACTTCGAAAATTCCGTTAGTATGTTAGCAATGGATGGAGATACAGAGGTGGTGTTCTAACGGCCGGGGACGTTTCTCTGCTTTCATTGCGAGCATATACATAATTGTGAGTCACACTCGGAATGCGTACGGATCCGGGTTACGTCGTGCGACGCGGTTTATTATTTTATTCGAAACTACTATTTTCGGCCACACACTGACTCGGAAGTTGTTCACGTCATTTTAAAAAAAAATTAGCACAATATCTGGACGTAACGAAGATTCGTGTGCAAATATATGGACACTTTAACCAGCAAGGCCTTAATTGGCTGGCAGGTAATGACTCGGTGGAGCATGATGTCAGCAGCTTGAGAGTCTCAAGCCTTTTTAATTATATTTATCATAATGATTTTGAACTTCGCGATACTATTCAGAATTCAGCGGGAAATATTCTCGACATTGCATTAGTGCCTTTGCCAATCTATTTTATTTTGTCCATCGCCGACCCTTAAATGAATACTTATTGCAGAGTAGTGGTGATAACCTTAATATATATAAATAACTTCAGTGCTATGGCTGCAAGCCGATCCTGAATAAAGAGTGAGATGGTACAGCTGTTGAAGCTCTTACAAAGGTAGTATTGAGCGCAATCGACAGCTCTGTGCCTAAGGTAAGCTGAGCTGACATGAGCCGCTGCTTGCAACGCAAGCTTTGTTATCAGTAACTCTTTGAAAATTCGGGGCTGGACAAGTAGTACGCCAAATTTAGTGATGTCGCACTTCGGCGAAGGGCTCTTTAGACGAGACGAAGGTTTGCATTTTGCTAGGCTTGAGTCCGATATGTATACCAGGCCCAAAATTGTTCGGAAATGTGCACTGTCAAAAGGAAACGAGCTGCTAAAGTGGTCCGAATACAAAATGACTCTGTTTCTACAAGTGATCTATGCAAAATTGCTGACGTATTTGCAGAACATTTTAAATCCTGTTTTTTGTCTGTAGCAGTCCGTGGCGAGAGCTCAACGTGCCTAGGCAAATCCAAATTTCTATCTTTTATCCCCACTGATGAAGTCGAAATGAAGGAAAGCATTCGTAGTATGAAATTTAAACCGCCTGCTAGCGCAGTTGAAATTCCCAGTTTTATTTTAGAAGTGTGTGCTGAACAAGTTTTAATTTTATGAACATACAATTTTCAGAGCATATTTTTAATTCATCACTGCGTACTGGAATATTTACATCTGTCTGAAAACGCTCTGTAGTTCTTGCGATTCATAAATCAGGCGTTCATAACATTGTAAACTATCGCCCGTTTAATTACTCTGCATTTTTATGAAAGGTCGTACACACGTCTCGACTGGCACTCCAGCCAAAAGATAAGCCTGAAGAGCATGGGTGTTTGAAAAGCACATCAGTGGACACGAAACTATGCTCTTTATTATATTGTACAGATCTGTTCGTTCGTGACCGGGAGCATGTTGATGATTTAGACAAGTTGACATGTTTAAATCATTAGATAAGGATAAGGGATAGTCCAACGCATTAACGGACCTCCAATCAAAAGCTTAAAAGAATGTGCATGGACAAGCCTCATTCTTTGGAAAAATATTTAGCCCCCTTCTCTTCGTGTACCGTGAGGTTCTTCAGGCAAGTGGGGAGTTCTCCCTATTTGAATTCATCTACGGCCACCGTTTTAGAGGTCTCTCAGTGCTAAAGGTAATGATGGTCGCAGACCACTTATGCTCCGATGTCCAAGCAACGTACAGAGGCGTGCTTGATTTCAGACACAAGCTGAAACAAGCCACTGAGTCAGTGTAGGAGAAACTGCAGGAGTCTCAGCGAAAGCAGAGCAAATCCTTCAATAAGAAGGCAAAAGAATGACAGCTAGAAGTGTGAGGACGAATGTTGATTATTTTCCCTAGAAGCAGTAACAAGCTGTTGATACAATTGAAAAGTCCATACTTGATGGTGGAGAAGAAGATGGATGTGTACTACGTTCTAGACTCCGGTCACACGCGCAAGCTGTTTCACGTCTATATGTTGAAAGGATGTGAGGAACGAGCAGTTTAAACAGCCAGCAAGGTGCATGTCAACGCATATGTTGCAATCGAGTATTGTGATGATAGAAAGGAGCTTCCCTGAATGAGCGTCAGGAGGACCCAGGGACCAGAAAATGTCACCCGGTCAGAACCGTTAACCTAGGAGCAGGGCGCTGAGGTGAACGAGCTCGTCCACGGATACAAAAATGTGTTATTCGATTTGTTGGGTAAAAAGAACCTTCTGTAGTTTTAGTTACATGTGTCCACTACCGCGAAGACACTACAGTACTCGATTCCTTTCGCAATCAGGAAGGTAATCAAAACCGAAGTTCAAGTGATGTTGAAGTTGGGGGTGATTGAAAGATCGACTTCCGCCCACAATTCTCCCCTCGTCGTTGTACGGAAGTCAGATATACGGAAGTTAAATTTAACAGCTTGCCGGCTCTAAATGAGGAACCCATCTAGGCAGGAAATGTTTATTTTGTAAACTGGACTTATCCAAAAGATATAGGCGAATCTTTTTATCGACGGATTCCAAGGCCAAAACGGCATTTTTAACTGAGACGGGGTTTACCAGTTTAGGTTTAAGCCCTTCGGAATTAAGGCGGCATCAGTCATATTTAATCGGCTTATGAGTACGCTGCTGGCAGACATCAAAACAGTACAGCACTATATCGACGAAGCGCTAAGAGCAACCAAAGCTTGGGAGTAGTACCTAGCCGCGTGGGAAAAAAATATCTAAGCGAATGCGGCGCACCGGAATCACGGGGAAACTCAGAAAATTCGAAATTGGAAGAAATAGAATAACGTTTTCGGGCCATGAAATGGGGAATAAAAAAGTAAGGCCTCACTCGCAAACTTTGTAGGAGACCAATTGCGGTGAACGACCCCGGACCAAGAAGCAAGTTAGCGCATGTCTTGGATTGACGCGATACTACCGCCGATTCATCCCCAACTATGTCAAGGCGGCTGGACCATTAGTTAAACTGTCGCGGAAGGATGTGCACGTGGAAACTAAAAGCGACCAAATCGAAACAACATAATGGTGGCCAGGGCGTCAGTGTCCTCTATCCGCCGATCAGGCAACTACTGAGATGAAAAGGTCTATACATTTATTCTACTCCATAGAAAGCACAGTTTTGAAACGAAAATCTATATGGCTCTTCAAATCACAAAAGATTACCGAAGACGGAAGAAAGGGGATAAGGGGAGTACCTTCTCACTTCGTCTCCTGTGGAACTCCCGCGGTTGGGCGTGACGGTGATAGGATGCTGCACAGGCACATATTGGCCGATGTTTTCTCCTTTCTTCAACGCCAGCATCATTCGCGAAGGGAGGCCTTTTGACCCCCATTCCCCCTCCGCGTATGATAATAACTCGCTACCACCGTTATTATTAGTGCCACTAAATAAGCTACGCTTCAGAATAACAACACTTGACCATATTGTTGCTTAAAATCATGGTTGCCAGTTATCTGAAGCCTTATCTGAAAGCACAGAAAACGCTTTTCCGTCCTCCACAAATGTTTAAACAGTTTGCGACAGGGTAAAGAATCGTTACATGAGCTTCCTAACACCGAATCTAATGCTGAGGAAGTCGCACTTTTGAATCATGACGATCGGCAGTTGTGCCTGCTCTCCACAAGCACCAAAATGGTGGCGCCCACAACATTGTCGGGGAACAGAGTGCCGAAACTCTAAGCGCAGCTCATTTAATAGCTCCAGTTACTATGTAGCGTTGGTAGTGAGCCACCGAAGCCGGTCTGACAATGTCACGTTATTTAATGGTCACAAGGTCGCAAAACGACACGCCTTCTGCGGGCTTTTTTTTTTTCTACGTTTGTTTTAAGTATAACGGATATCATACTGAACAACAACAAGGGCACATTTCACACGCCGGCGACAAATTTATAATTGAAATGCGCCAGTCAAGACGAGTATTTCCGAAAGGAAGGTTTTTTAAGTATTAAATTGTTAAGTATTACTTTACATTGTCCACATGACCTACTCCCCGGAACTTTATCCTAGGGTAATATTTCTTAATTATAATTGCTCTTTCAAGTGTATACAGTTGTTCGTAAAATCTCCTGTATGTATAAGCGTTTGCAAGTGAGACTTGTGGGCGCTGTTATCTTGCTGCTGGTGTGGGTAGATCGTCTGGTAGTCAATTACTGCTGGAGCGCACCCACGGTTTTCAGACTGGCGCTCAAACAAAACGGTATTCATACACGGTGGCCAGACTAGCTTTCGAGGTGCGGCTGTTTGCAAACGTCTATAGCAGTAAAAAATCTCTCTAAATAAAACTGCGCGACGATATTTCAGATGCAGTGAAGCAGGATCCCCATGCTAATGTAGGCCAAACGCCTGAGTGTAAAGAGATGGGTAAGAACGGACTTGTTTTTTGCCGCGTGATAATCCCTCTAGATTTATATTATCTGAAATGTATTTTATACTCTTACAGGCATAAAGCTTAGCCGTGCAGTTAACAGAAGTAAAAATCCATGTGATGATTTTTATGATTATGTGTGCGAAAATTGGAAGCAGGACAACACCATTCCGCCATATTTGCCAAGCTATGGACATATATGGTTTGTACGAGAGAAACTGTCCAAGAGACTTAAAGGTAATTTTGATCCTTAACACGGCTATATTTGTGTGACTAAAGTTGAAGAACTAGCTACTACTATTATATTTAACTGATACCTAAAATTGCTACAATTTTTTAATAATAAATATACAAGTTATTGTATTTAGGTTAAAGGAAAACGCGTGTGAAGTCTTAGGTATGGTCACTATTGGTAAGAAAAAATTTAATTTCTGACTTTATTCAAAATAAAAAAGTGAAATTTCTGACTTTAACACCACCATGCTTGGGTCACGTTGACATGTATTTTTAAAACAAAGGTTTAAAAAAATTATTGTACGCGTTTCAACAGTCACAGGCCTTCTATTGCATACTTAATATCAGAAGCCATAGCGAACCTAAAATTGAAAGCAAATGGGGTGTAAATGAGAAATGGGCTAAGCTTCGCCGCGACATAAGAAGAAAGTAAAAAAAAATGCTAGTCTAAGATTTCGTTACCAGCGAGACTTGTGATCAAAGCGAAAGATGATGATCCAAAAACTCTCCTTCCCAATCAGCTGTGGTCGCTTATCTTCCACTGTGGCGAAGAAACATCATTTCTGCCGAGGTCCCATTTGGTGTGAGTCCTGTATTCACTAGAAGTGGGCTTTATTTCGGTGTTTATAAAACACTTTCAAATCATAAGAAAGATAGGGGTGCGATATCTTTCGGTACTTTGCGAACATGCATGTTCTCAAAGTGCTATCATGAGAGCACTTTTAGAGACGGACGAGGGGGGAGTCCAATAATATGTGCTAACTTCAACTTTTTAATATTCAGAAAGTTATACTCTGTGCCATCACGCCACTAAATTTATACTCTGGCCTGCTGCGGTTTGCAAGAACTGGGTCATTTTAACATAACATTTTATCAGGTCTGTCTCTATATTTTAGCAAACCGTCGCCGTGCTCCACTATCGCACAACCAGAGCCTTTGAAGCATGCTTTTAAACGCGCACCCGAGTGATACCATGTCTAGTTGGGTACAAACGCCATCATCATCATCCCACAGAGGCACAGTTTCGGTCTCGGTCTCCAATTGAAAAAGAAAAAAAATTCTTATTGTAGCAAAAATATTAAACAAAAAAAAACTTTTTTTTTACGATCATTTTATTTGAGGGATGCCTGTCCTAACCTAGTAAAAAAAAAAAGCTTTCTTTCCTAGCTTCAGTATCCTGTTAAAATTGACCGCATCTCATCAATGTGAATGATGTTGATTTGGGCGAAGCTGGCGGTGCTGATGATGCTGATTTTGTTCATAGGTAGTGCTGATGGTGCTCATTTTTTTATTGCTCATAGGTAGTGCTGAGTTTCGGGTTGCGTTTCGACTTCATTATTACTGCTTTATGATCGGTGAAATGCAGAGCCAGTGGTTCTTCTAGTGAATCAATTTGGATCCGCTAGAAGCCGTGGGAAGGCATCTCCACCGTTTAAGTCAACGGTTTATGTCAGGAAGAGAATGTGCGTTATGGAACGCGGTTATATACGCATTTGAGCATTCGACCGCAGCGCCCTCTCGTCTATACGTTCAGCCAATTCATGCAAAGTTTAACGCGATTATATACGCACTTGGCCGCAGCACCCTCTCCTGTATAGACGTTGAGCGGCTACATGCAACGTTTCATCCATGACATCCCCAGCTATTGAGCTACTACCATATCTCAGAGCCTCCTACTCGTCCCGCAGTCGTTGCCGAGTGGTTAGGCGATGGACTAGAAAATCATTGGGGTCTCCCCCCACAGGCTCGAATCCTGTCGACTCGGCAAACAGTTTTTTTTCATCATTTTTTTTTTTATTTTTTGCCCTACACGAGCACGTAAGCTAACGAGCACGAGCACGAGCACCAGCAAGATCGATGTCAGCACGGACGCCGGACGGACATGCCTAGACCCTAAGGAGCTTCGCCCCTAAAAAAACAGCACAAGCGTTGTTTTCATTACGCGCTTCTTGCCTGCCGTTGTGCTTGCGCCGCGCGTGCATCGTATGGTACGGAAAGTAGATCGATTGAGCTCAAGTCATATATTGAACTGCTCATGTTATATTGCAACAGAGTATAGGCAGCATTCACTGGCGGCCATAGCTGCGTACGCGACTGCTGAGCGTGTGCTGACGGCGAGCTCCCACAGTTCTTTTGCAACGTGCATTCCGCACCGCCAAGATTGCCGGTCTTAGTAGTAACTTCCGCAAAAGTTTGCGGTGAAACCCTTTTTTTTTTTTTTTTTCAGCACTGTCTGAAGTTTTCAAAAAAGCTCGAAATATTGCCGCACGCAGGACCGAATTAACATGGCAAGCTCAGTCACAGACTTCTAGGAGAATCATGTTTATTTTTACTCGGGACGTAAAGGCTCGGGACGTAAACGTAAAAGTTTCGTCCGACTTCCTTGCTCTCGAAAGTGCCTGTTCAATTTCGCCCCAAACGTTCGACGCTCGAACCTTCTGAGACAAAGTTTCGAGATACTTCGCGGTACCTTGTCGAGTCACTCCCTCTTTCGCTTGCTGTTACGTCGCCGAATCGCCGCTCGCCTTTCTGCTGTCTGGACGCTCGTTCTTTATTTTGTTTTGCACAAATTTGCCCCCCATAAACTTTTGGTTCAAAACGGGTTTTTCGCCGCTTCTGCGCCTGTCATTCGTGACAAAATGGTACATATATAAAATATATAGAAGTAATTATTTAGCAATGCCTAGTTTTTTGTTTGAATTTAATTGCATTCGTATATAATACGAGGCGAAATCTAAATAAAAAAATAAATAAATATGTTTTTGTATTGTATTTAGTCTATAAAAACAAGCTTAAACTGGGCCGTTTTCAAGGTAGTTTTGTTTCAATATACTCTTCTGTATAACCGCAGTACAAGAGTTTTCAGCCTAAAGAGTACGTATATTTTATGCATGCAATACCTTTATACCCTTATAAGAAAAGGTTTCTTTGATATTAAACGTAAAGTAGAGAAAAACGTCGTTTTGACTACAATTCAGCTGCGAATTTCGCATTGAGGTTGTTCAAGTTATACTATACAAGGTCACTCAAACAAACGAGTTTACGCCTCAATAATTTGGAATATGCAATGTTTAATCTAAGTAAAAAAAAATTAAGCGAGAAAATATTCGTTTATGCTGAGCACCCATGATATTGCGCTGAGTGGTTCCATGCGGCTACTTTTCCGCACAGCACGTAGAAGAAGGGTTTTATCTTATACACGCTACAAGCTGAGGTGCTTCATCCGGTAAATATGGGCCTTATTTAAGCGCTGTAGTAGGTAGCACCAAAGCTGATGAAAAGAAAACATAATTTATTCTTATCTGCAATTTCCAGGAAGCTGGTCGAGCCTCGAGAGTAAACTTCACAAAATTTTGTTCTTCATAAAATATCTTCGAAAATCTCGTTTTTAAGTAAACGTTGTGGTTTTCAGACGTTTTTGACGCTTGAACATCTTCAGTCACCTAGTACGACGTTATCGATACACAAAGCGCTTAAGTTGAAATTGGCTTAAAGTGGCGAATCCCGCGCACCATTTGGGGCGACTGCTGTTTGGAATCTTCAAGCTAGTTCGTCTGAAATTTCTTTCACGATAAAATTTGGTACCCATAAAATGTTTACACCATTTAGGGTTTTATTTTTTTTTGCGCCCATGTAATGAGCTCTAGTGGAATGAATATTGGGTCTTGGTACAGTTTGTGAAGGCTGGCTCTTTCTGCCAAACGTTTAACCTTTCCTCCAATGAGATCGCAAAGACGTTTTCCGTGGGAAGTTGCGAACAATTTCCATTCAAGCGAAACACTAAAGCCTTCATCGTGAAAGAAAGGTTTCGAAAGTTATTTTTGTTTTTGTTCTGTGAGTCTGCTCCGTCAGAAAAGTAATAAATATTTATTAGTTGTGGAAGGTCATTCTTTAGAGGTTTCAGAAGCTCACAATGGAATGCATACATTGCTAGAGTATCATGTTTCCGGCAGTCTGAAATGACAGCAAAAGATCTGGCAGATTATTCTTCACAGAATTCTGGGGCGAAAATAAAAAAAATAACAGGGCAGAGTCTAGCCTGGTGGGATGACACAGTGATAAGGCTGCGGGGCGTCTTGTAGCAGGAAACTGTAGTTAAAAAGCTATAAAATGGTTATAAAATGGTGACCCTTGACTGCATTCAACTTGTCGGAAAAAATTCCTCTGTTGTTAACAAAATTGTTTCAAGCGTGCAACGCACGGCGCTCATCCACTGCTGAACTTGAACATGGTCGACCTGATTGGTGTTAAGGACAGGTCTTTTCTGGAGAGGTTACAATGTATTTGGTACCGCGGCACACGTCGCACTTGACCAACATTACAATCCTTTTCATAAACTTGACCCACGGCGGTGGCTAATAATTCTTCAGTGTTCTTCTTGAGTTCACTCCCGTGTACCATTAGCTTCAAGTTTTGGTGCTGCACGTATACGCAAAGAGTGTGCCCCGGCTAAAACACAGGTTGGAGTGCGCATATATTGGCAAAAGATGGAAATCCAATGTTTAGGTTTGAGCCTTTCTTCCATTCTTGGTGAAGCTCTTTTTAGGTTCATCAAAAGTAGCCATTTATGACGGTTGCGCAGCATATATTCGCTTGGTGGAGATGCCGGTGGATCGTATGACAACGGGTTATCGTCTAGGTTATCGTCCTCGAAATGTAGGAGCGCATCCTGATCATTGCTCGATTCAGACGAGCCTGATAATTTCATTTCTATATGCGACACAAACGCAAAACAGTGACCTGCCTGCCAGGCAGGCCAAGCTCGAACTGCACACGTGTGAATGTTTATATCATATGTGACGTCACGTCCAAATGGCGAACCAGTCAAGTGGCAAGTTAATTTCGGAATCGGTTTAGTCGTATTTTAACAATTATAAATTATGTAAACAGATTTTTAATGATTTAACCGCTGCGCCATAGGCGAAGTTTTTAGCACCCTTTCTGAAAATATGTTTTTATACAAATGCTCAAACTGACGGCGGAGCTGCCCTTTAACAACGTAGTACATTAAGTATGAAGAAAAGTATAGATGAGACAATTTAGAAAAATTTAAATGGTCATGAGACGATATCGGTTTGAACTGTTCATAAATTTGCAGAGCCGAATACTGGTTCAAGTCTGGCTCCAGTGTTCTCTCACAGACCGCCACTGATTCAGATGCTTCTTTGTCCCGGTGAAGTTTTGAGGATAAAATGGGACTTTTTCCTTCATTCTTGACTTCGCAAAGCTTGATGACGTAATTGTAGGTTAAAAAAATCTAAATGACGACAATCGAACGTGGAAAATGATTGACATAAAACCGTTTATAAGTAGTGTTGACACGATAATCACCAGTAATCCCAGACTTTTCGTAATTAATCGGAGTTGCCCTTTAATACATTACGTTCTGGCTGAAATTATAAAAACAGAATTTTGTAACGTATAGGTGCATGAACGAACCAAACCTTCTCATTTAGCTCTTCTCTTCTTATGCCTTTTACAGAAATCTTAAGCAACATGACCCCACCAACATATCAAGCTGAATCTCTTAATGACAAAATTGCCATAGCCTATCAATCGTGCATGAATGAAGGTACGTATTTAGAATTAATATCCTTAAGTATAAGAAAACGAGGTTGAAAAAAGGCCGTTAAGTTGATGGCAGATATCTCTCTGCACATCCACACGTTTTCATGAAATCGCACTTTACTAATTATTTGTCTCTCCTAATTTTAAAAGAAAGCTCCATTGCTAAACATGCACACATTTTAGTTTCTGGCTTTCATTAGTAAAATCTTGTGATACATTCTCAGATTCGTGCCAACCAGAGGAAGAAATAAGCCGGCTACGAAACACGTTGGAAAAATTTGGCATCCCTAAATGGCCGATGATACTTGGTTCAAATGAAACTATCGACTGGAAAGAAATATACCGAAAAATACGAGTTGGAGCAGACATGTCGTTTATTTTTAGCGTTGATCTCTTACCTCATGTTTTTAACACGTCGCAGCTAGCCATTTACGTAAGTAGCGTCCTAAATATTACTATTTGCTCTGTGATGTTTGCAAACTGCACCCAGAATTGAAAATGTAAGCTTGCATTAAGTAAAGCAACGTAATCATTACCTGTCGGATTTCTTGAAAACAAAACGACTCAATAGAAAATAAACATATGAAACTGCTAGGAGGCCTTGTAACACTGTGCGCGCGGCCATGCATGTAGCATCATGTCTGTTTCAGACTCTTGGCATTTAGAAGGCTTTACCTCAGTGATTGAGATGCAGAAACTTTGTGATAAGCCAACCTGGACGAAGGACTAGGCCGGCGTGCCTTTTTTGATGACACTTTATTTTTCTTTCTTTTCGACGTGATGGTAAAACGGTAAAGCTATATATCTATCGCGGTAGCGGTAAAACAATGTATCGATCGCCATCCTAGTTCCACACCTATTCATGCGAATCGAAGTTAACTTATTTTCGGGAGGTTCTTACTGGCAAAAGCCTCAATGGATGAAGATTTCTGAATTCCTGGCAAGCAAACTGCCACCTCGGTATTATTTTTGAGGTGTTCCGAACAGGTCCAATCAATTTTAGATAACTTCAAAATAAGTAGAACACAAATCGCTGACGTCCGGCAGGAAAACATATATTTGTAAATTCCTGGTAAAAAGACTGAATTTCGGTATTGGTGTTGTACTACGCGACATTTTAAACCTATCAACAAAATTCCCTTGCATTAAACAAAATTTTGATCTCAGCCGCGAAAAGAAGAAAGAAACAAAAAAGAGAGGTTGCGATATTAATTTTAGCTTCACCAATCCACTCGGCGGCTTTAGCATCAGGTCACTTTTGTGCTGCCGCCAATATTGAAGTTCTAGCTTCTTTGATGAACCAAATCAAGTCATGCAATCAAACTTTGTGTTCAACAAGAGCGACAGTAAAATCGCCTTTCTGTGACTGAGTTTAGAGCGAACAGACACGCCGTCCCAATCTGTAATGGTTTCCTTTCTACATAAATACATTCTAAATTCTTACCTACTTGATTTTAGAAGTGTTGTTTTTACAAAACTGGTATATGACCGATTCATAAAATGGATGAATCAACGGACGGAGCGATCACCTGACGACACGTCCGCGGAAATTCCGTCTCTCAAGCGCATGCACACGAAGGAGACGACCAGCAAATAACAGTGAGAAGGGACTGAACCTATTCGCGACCCTACTGTGCCGCAGAGTTCCAGCATCACAGAGTGACGTTGTTGTCCCAGGGTGAAATCGACGTTTACTGCTACGAACACGTCGCTACCGCGAAAAAGAATCGCCGTGAGCCGCTCTTACGTACAGAGCGAGAAAGCACACCGTGATGTACTTGGCGCAAACCGCCACTATCTTTACTAACCCAAGGCATAACAGTGACCCAAGCATGGTCCTGCACGAGAAGGCTTCGGCCTAGAAGCGACGACGTCTTGGACTTGCGGAGGGGCGTTTGAAGATGCCTTCAAGAACTCCGTGCTTGCACACAGCACTCGGGTACAGCACCGTCGCAAAAAAGGACTTGCTGGATGAAAAGTTGATTAGAAGTGCAAAAAAGATCGCGGCGTGCTAAACGAGTTGTGACGGAAGCTACTTGAATCTTCACACGGACCTGCAGGAGTACCGGATTTAGCGCCGCGTCAGCCAGGCAAGGTTTCTGCAGTTGATTTTACTCCTGGCACCAAGAATCGCGCGACGAGATGAACCAGCGAAAACACAAAACACAATAATGCGCCATCTTTGTTTTGTTTGTCAAAAAAAGAAAAAAAAGAGGACGTTGTAAATTGCCAGGCTAATCGCATTTCAAAAGACAATCACCCGCCAGGAATCCGCGAGTAAAAACGCGCTCGGTCATTTCAGTCCGCGCATCCGCGGACCAGGCGTGGATCGCATAAATTGGAGATGTAGGGGTCACCTGATACACGACTTGCTAAAAAAATTCGCGATTCGGTCCTTCGTGTGAATCTGCCTTTACTGACGCCAGGTCAACTAACTGTATTGGAATCCCTCCTACGCATCGTTTTCTAGCTGTCTGAAGAGTTTCTTTTTATTTATTAAAGGTAATTAAGTAAAGAACTTGTGTTTTGTGCTCTTGCCTTTCATTGTTGACAATGCACGTCTGGAATTATGGTTGTGGCATAAATTTGTGAAGCTGTAGCTTCTTGCTGCTTCGCTCTCACATGCTTGTTCTAGCGCATATAAGGTCATCTGTTGTCGCATCAAGCGAAAAGCAGTCTGGCTATACCATGCAGAAGAAAAGCTAATTCAGACACTTAATTTGGTAAAATATTTCGTAGATCGAGACAAATACATTTGCTTTACGGGCACAATAAAAACATTCAAAGCGAACGCATTTTAAAATTTTAGGAGCCAACACCCGCTGATGAGCACAAGCAGACCTAAGATCGCAAGCCGACTCGACGACCCTTCAAAAACGTTTGTTGAAGGCCTTTATTGCGACAGTAATACCCGAGTCAGACGGGCAGATTAAAGAGCTTCAGAACCAACTCCTTTAAAGAATCGGGGGTTTAGTTCGCTGTCTTGCGCTTATATGCGTGCGCTGATTCGCCGACCCTTTAAAGGAGTTTGTTCTGTACTCTTTTTTCTTTCCTGCACCAGTCTTAGGTGTTAAACGACATGATTGCTACCACGAGCTCGCCTGCGCGCTTAGAGTTGTTTCAGTAAGACGGGTGTCAGTTCAGTAGATGTAAATAGCCTCGCATCATACGAGAATTACCTCTTTCTTCGCCGTGTCGCTGATTCTGCATTGCAAAAAGCTGCGTGAAAAGTAAGAAGCATAAATAAATAAAGAAAACGGAACCTTGGTTACCTGTGCGTCATGTTCCCGCTGTTTACACGGGGGAATGCAACATTCCATGGCATCGTACCTCTTGCACGGAGCAGCCGCCTCTCCCTCGAAGGTCCGGTCGCTTTCTTCACTTTCTCGCCGCAACCAATATTGTGGACGTAGTTCTCGGCGCGGTAGTTGATGGCACTGTGTATTTCGCACACCGTCTATTGGGTGTAATTTTCACATGGTTGACTCTCTTACGAAAAGTATTAGTGGTCAATATTTTGCTTCAGGAAGTGCTTTTAAGAGAACAGCTGTTTTATGAAGAAAATTTTATCTACAATGTTGGGTTTGGTTGTTTTTCATATTTTTCAGATTGAACATGCAAAGTTTGTGCCCAGTTCGTATCAACTTTCTGAGGCACAAGAGAAAAAGGACAGCGCTGTGGAAGCCTATGAAAATTTCATCAAGCAAACAGTAATTTTGTTTTCGGAAGACAAAGACATTAATGTAACGACAAAGATTGCTCAAGATATATTTGACTTCGAAGTAAATTTAACAAAGGTAGCGTTCGCTTTCATATATTTATAAGGATCGCGTAAGTACCCCGTGTTATAAATATTTAGCATATACATATAAAACTAAAATTATCCTTTGTGTAAAAATATATGGATCTGTTCCAGTAACGTATGATTTCATATAAAACCACATCAAAGATTATATAGGCTTGATATGATTTATAAAAGTTTTATCTGTTCTCCAGGCCAATAATTTGTATAAGTATTTTTTTTCTCAAAATTATATGTTTAGAAGAATTTTGAAGAATAATAAAGCTAGGCGTTTCGCTGTGGATGAACCAACAATTATCGTTCACGTTCGCATTCGACCGCGTTCTTGAGGTAACGCTTCTCCTTCAACATAACTGCGAGTAGTTCGCTTTCGTAAGAAATGTCAGAACACCGCTGGGTTTTATCATCTGATTTAAAATTATTTATGCGAAGGAAACCCACTATGAAACAAGATGAGCCCTGCACACTAAATATTTCCCCACCTATATTCGTGTAAAAACTGTGTAGTTTGGAATGAACACCTTTGCTACACCCGTCTTACACAATTTTTACACGCTTTTCAAAAACATATCGGTGTAACAAGGGAGTACAGGTCATTTAAATACTTCCTATATCTTTCCTACACCCTGCAGGTAGAAATATCGTGTAGAATGGGTGTATTATTTATCACACCTTTGACGTAAACCGTGTAAAAAATGTGGAATGGTGACACTTTGCAATACACTCATGATATATTTCTCATCTTTCTTTATTGTGTTAGCCAAACTTGGTAATGATCGTCGTAGATTAATACGTATAGATGACAATAGTGCTATCTCACATTTTATGGCGTTCCTTGGCTGTGCTCAAGGTTCAATGACCGTAGCAATTAATCATTCAGCACCCTACAAAACCTTCACAGCAGCGTCGGCATGCGAAATATGTGCATCCAACCGCGCTCGTCAGTGCAAGGCGTCGTTCCTGAACAGCCGCCTCCCCCTGTGTTGTTTCTGCCCCAGAACAGGTACATCTCCCACGGCATGCGCGCAGTATTGCGACGATATTAGCGTCAAATCGGAAAGATTGTGCCGGTACCGTAGTGATCCAGACGATATCTGTGAAGTATCGGATAGGTCGCGCCCACGCCATTCTGATAAGGTAAAGGCCGCCGTTTGTCGTTGCGTTTGGGAAGTGGCGTTTGGGAATCACTTATGCTTGTTGGGTATAAGGATTTCACGACAATCTTAAAAATAAGGTTAAAAAAAAGAATTTGTTTACTTTTAGTCTGAGAAGGACAAACAATGCAAGCAGACGGAGCTTAGCTGCATCGTCTATTTCCCCTCGACCTCGCCTTTTGTGAAGCCACCCCGCCTCCTTTTGTCTCTTCGTGTGGCTGTGGGCAAGCGGGACAACCGCTTCGAGCAAATCGAAGGGTGGAGAGAAACACGTGACCGCTATCCATAGGAGAAAAAGTTTGGGCGGAAATGTGTCACGCGACTCACTCTGACGCGCTGATGGACTCACTGGGGCCCTACGCTCTTTGCCGCATGTCAAGCTGTGGCGATTTATAGGGGGCCACGTAAATCCGCAGTTTCCGCAATGCGCTCTTCAATATTCTGATTTTCGTGCGTTGCAGTCACGGCCGTTGTTTTTTGTCGTGAACGGAAGTAATAAGTCCATACGAACGTTTAGGTAATTGCCGCTTTCTTCGTATTGTGTTGTGTTTGTTGGACGCGTTTCGGCAAAAAACTGCTTATCCGCGACAGCGAGATTTTTGTTGAATGTGGGAGACCTTCTTCAGAACCGTTCATTCGGCCGGGACTGGAGCCGGTTATCGGCCGACATTCCCACGACACTGGCCAAGCACGGCCGTGCTACTTCGGCGACTCGATTGGGTGATTTATTTGCTCCTCAGTCATTTCATGGGTTCCCGGGCCGCAGTGTGCACCTCGACAAAAAAGTGTACTGTGGTAATTACAGGTTATAAGAAGGTGGAGTGTGGTTTAGTAACTTTCTAAAAATGTGTGCCGCAGTATCACACCTTTTAGTAAAAGTGTTACAAGAATCAAACCTTTTTTTTTAAGTGTTAGCTTCACACCTTTTTTATTAGGTGTATCGCTACACTGGTTAAGATGTTGGTTATGGAACGCCCCATTCACTCCTATAATGGTGTGAAAATGTTTAGTGTGTGTAGTCACGGTGTAATTTATTGAACTGACTGTTACATACGATTTGGCATCCGTCCTGGCCGTCCTGCTCCAGAGTCTTCTTGTCTAGAGCAGGCATGTCGGTGGCCAGGGCTCATGCACAATCGGCTCTTGAGTGGGCGTCATCATGTCCTCCTCTTCCGTCACCTCCTCGCAGCGCATCTCTCCGTCTAAGGAAGGGAGAGTGGTGGACCTCAAGCGGCATGTCGAGTGTCGACCCCTGCTGCGAGCGGGTAGGGAGAGGGAGGGGGGGGGGGGAGGGGGTTCTTCTGAGAACGCCGTCCTCGGGAGATTTTGACGAGACCTGAGAATAACGCAGCATTCGTTGCGGCTGTCGACCGCACCACCACGAGGATTCTAACCGAGAAATAAAACAGTTCGGCTACAGTTACGGGAACTTTTACCAAAAAAACTGGCTTTGTCAAGAATTTTTAACCAGCCTCCCCCACCCCCACATTGAACATCTTGAACATCAAATTCTTGAATTTTATCACTTCAGTAATTGGTCTGGCGCCCCTCTAACATGGTTAATTTTTGTTTCAGTTAAACATCCAGAACTAATAGCGGGAAGCTGAGCCAGCGGGGAAATTAATTACTATGTTTTGTTTTTTTTAAACTAGTTTCAGAATATACATTGTTTCCACAACTACACTGTAAAAACCCATATAACACCCCAGAACTTCAGTTTGACGAACAGCGCGCTGAAGTCGACCCAACGGTACCAACATTCACAAGCGGTTTGATAGCCGAGTGGTACAACTTATTAAAATAGCTAATGTACGTGTTACTGACTACAACAACAAGAACAAAAAAAGTAATAGGTGTTTTATTGGCCCAACTCCGAAACCTCAGTGTTTTTTTTCTTCTGTAGTTTTCGATGCGTAGTTTAGCTGTTTAATGAGGTATATATTAACGTTCTCAAGCCCCTTTTGGGGTGTCGCATATGGGACAACGGGTGAAAGAATATACCCTTTTTTTCTTAGAGTGTTCCATTTAAAAACTAAGTAATCTTTGAAAATTTCGTCTCAGATACCACATATGCAAGATTTTAATATACTTTCAAAGGTCGATGTGTTTGACGACACTGACACTGCGTTTTAGTCAAATACCTTAAGCTTCTTGTTCAGTTCGAAGTAAATTACTGACTAGCATGTTCAAAAAAAGAAAAAATTTGCCATAAATATTATACAAAATAGACTCTGCTGTGTTTGGCTTTATCCCATTCTTGGGATCTTTTGTGAAATTTTTTCGGGGGAGGAGAGATCTGTAAACTTACGTCAGGTGCAAATAATCATTTAAACCTCATTTCGGCTGCTTTGCATACTTGTGCTGTCGACCCTTGTTAGTTCAATCGTCATTTACATTATTGAAAAAGCTAGCGCTTTTGTCTTAAAAAAAATAACGAAGTACGCATAAATAAATATGTACCACTGGCTTCAAAAGAAATGCGATACTTCGTTTCATCTTGTATTAAAGCGTAGTGGGAGGCTAGTAGCTGCGACACGGCACTGGCAAGGCATTCTTAGGCATCGCAGAGTAGGCGTCAAAGACTTTGATGGTAAAAAGAGCGTAACCTTTTTCCTTAAAGTAATGTTCGTGTTTCGTACGAGTGATACGCTGTTTATGTTCCAATAAAGCTCCGAAATGTGATATTGAATAAATAAATATGAGCATATTTGGAGAAATTACGCTCCTGTTTTTCAACGCTGCCGTTGCAAACACGTTAGTCCAATCAACACTAAAGGCACTATGCGCGATGTGATGTACTGCGAAAAAAAAGAAATCTTTTTCGAGATGGAAGTGTTTTTTTATTGAAAAGCTATTATGTACAAACTAAAACTAAATTAGATATTAATTTGAAGTAGTAATGTAAACTTTAAAATGGTCTTGCCGTTTGTTTAAACAGTCACCTGACAAATGTAACTTGGCTCTTACTTTCGCAGGCAGGGGCAGCTTACTCCGCCAGCTGCTCCTGTTTCCTTCACCCGCCCGCTTCCAGACAGTCTCTCCAAAAAATCCTCACTTGAAAGAGAAGCGCGGCAGATCGTGCTACACGTGTGCCACAAATGTCGTTCTCACCCTGCAAGCGAGTCGTATAAAGAGCGACCGTCCAAAAAACGTCTAAGCTATACTAAATGTTGAAGAAAAATGCTACTGGAAGCAATTCTAATGTCGCCGGAACAAACACGTTTATTTACCAGTGCCTTATGCCTTTAGGACGAAAACAGCTTCGTTCCGTCGCACGTGCTTCGTCAGTCAGTCACGGAAAGCTCTCTGTGGTTGAGTATTAATAAAGTTAGTAGTCGGCATAGGCAACTTTGAATCAGACACACAAGCCCTTGACTGCAAGTGTATGCAGGCGAGACATTTCGCGAGGCCGTCAGGTTGGAGTCAAAGTTCCATCGTATAGGCCGACCTGTCTCCTGGCGTGACCGAGAAGTCTCCAGTTTTCTGAGTGGAACAAGAAGGGAAGCGACGAGTTCCTGCGGAGCCTTCTTCCGCTCGACCGTCCCACCGATCCCACTCACAAAATGGAGACGCCACCGCTGCGCGTCAGGCTCGATACTTCAAGATGTTTCAGCCACGAACATCAAATATACTATCTAAAAAGAAAACCCGTGCGTCTACTTTCCAGGGCAACACTCGGAGCGCTAATCAGCGTACCTTACGGAGGCAGCTCAGCGAATGACGATGCCAAAGCATATGTTTACAAAAAAAAAAATCAATCTGTGTGCAATGCAAAACGTCACGCTTGCATTGCTTGATGTCACAACTCAAACTGCGTTTTTTTGTCTAAACATATGTTTTGGTATCATCATTTGCTGAGCTACCTCCGTAAGATGCGCTGATTGGCTCTCCGAGTGTTGTGCCGGAAAGTAGACGTGCGGGTTTTTTAGAGTGACAAACTTGTGCAGTAAACTGTGCAGACTAAACGAAGTCCGAATTTTCTCTAATGTAGCAGACAAACACGTTTCATCCGCGCCACGTCCACACCGGACTTCAAACCAGCATCATTTTGACTAGCGCACTGATACACCCCCAACGAGCCTAGTGACGTCACTTCTAAACTGAAGCTTGACTTGCTGTTGAGGCTCCCAGACTTCCGCTGTGGTTTATCCCAAGATGAAACGGAATATAGCTAAAAGTTTTGAAACTGCCTAGACTTTTTTGTATCTTTCAAATACATTTGAGTCACGTTATTTTTTGTTCACTTCAAAGGGTAATATATTTTTGTTGCCCAGTCTTCTTGCGCGAGTAGATACACTTTACTTTGTGCTTTGTACTTCTTTCCTGTACAACAAGTCCTCGAGATGAACGAGGCTGACGTTGGGTTTATGTATATGGCACCGTCTTCGGTGATGGTCGCTTTTTATGGTATTTCTTGTTCAGTTTTGACAAAGTAAGGCTAAATAAAGCGGAATTCACCTTACTACGATAAAATTGTCGCTTAATCATATTTCTCTCATAAAGACGCGAAAACCAAAAAAACTGTCGAGTAAATTGCAAACAAACTAACAATCACAGCCGCCTAGAGAAATTGTTTTGTGATTATTATTTAATTCTTCACGTTGTATATTTTCAGGAACCCTATTGACGCAACCGGTGTTCTATTTTAACATTAGCGTTGTGTCATGCAAGGCAATAACATTTAGTCTGAAACATCAATTTTATTTTATTGCGTGTTTGTGCCTTCTTGAAAAAACACAGTGTTCATTTATTTACGTTTCTTACAACTATAAACCGTTTTACATAACTAAATGTCTTCATACGTAACATAACGTTTTAATAGCGTTCTATATAATTATAAAGTTTTATACTAATAATTATAAACGCTGAAGCTCTGGTGGGAAGTTGGTATTTGGAAAACGTTTACAACTTGCCAGAATTGTCAACTTAACTGAACTGTTTGACAGCCGAGAATGAAGTTCCCATTACAGTCACCTTCAAAGTACCTACTTGTTCGAGCATCTAGACGTGAGAAATACAACTGTGTACTAACGAAATGCGAACAGTGTAGCCAATCACTTGGTAGACAGGCTGCGCCACGCTGCGACACTGAGTACTGATAAACATATTCAATAGATCACCCCTTCCTACTAAGAAGATTTTTCTTCTTATTATTACCCAGGTAGGCTTCATGTGGTGCACAATGTAACTAAGCCACGCCATTTCCATTTTCTTTGAACCCAAAAATGCATTCCCGATTTCGTGTTTCTAATATTACTTTTTGGTCTGTAATCAAAGTTTCGTGTAGACTAGGGTTTGCGATACTTTTTGTCGATTATTGCTATTCCACCAAAGGCTTTGTCGTTTGTCCAGTCCAAAGACGAAATAAAAATACAAAAGCTTTAAAGGGCAACTCCACTCAAAAAGTCGACCCTATCGAAATGCCTGATATCGCTTTAGGAGGTCAAAATACGGTCATACCCAAAATATCACGTCAAACCGACGCCGCGTTACCGATTAAAGCCAATATTAAAAATGCTCTCCCGGCTCGGTTAGCGGCCCGAAAGCGGGTGAGCAACGCTGGCACCGGGTGAGCTAGTGAAGCAACACTGGGCAATGACGTAGGTCTAGTCCTACGCTCTCGTACGGACGCCGCGAACGCTTCGTTTTCCGTGGCATTCTGCGATTCTGCTGACGGCACGAGGTGTTTACCACATTATCCTGTGTTCTCCTATTTTTATTAGCGTCCAGGCAGTTCCTTTAATTCCAGCATTGCTTCCGCGACAGCGCGGAAGAGAGCAAAGCGGTGCTGCTCGCTCACGCGCGCGTCGTGGAGCCGGAGAGATTCGCCGGTCTCGCGTTGGGCAATGTCGAGCAGGACTTGTAGTGCTGTGGGTTGCACCAACCCGGTGTGCAACCCGGAGCTGCGGTTCCACCAGTTCCCAAGAGACCGGAAGAGGCACAAGGTGTGGGTCGGTGCCGTTCGCCGGATAGACTTCGGAAGACCGTTGACTCCGAGCTCCAACGCGAAGCTCTGCTCCCAAAACTTTACGTCAGACACCTACACACGGGATCTGCGGCTGCTGACTGTTGCGGGTTTCACCACGAAACAGGCGTCTTTGAAGAACGATGCGGTGCCGTCGCTGTTCGCGTACCGTCCGCCGGCTGCTCCAGCACGATCGGCCGGACGCAGCAGGTCGCGGCTGATCTAACTAGCGTGCACATAAAGGCACCTTGGCTTTAACAACTTAGACCACTTGTGGATAGATCTGTCCATCTATCTCCCATTATTTCGTTTTCTCGGTCCGCGCGCAAGAAACAAATACAGTCACGCTGCGCCGGCACCGACCGCGTCATATTTATAGCAGTCGGATTCGCTTTTCGGCCGGCAAATTTATAAATACACACTAAAAATTACTACATTTGTTGCATATTACCAAAGTGAAGCGGTAAAGAAAGAAAATGTGCATCTAACCTTCTGTTTTGAAACTCCACGTGCGACTGAGCCGACCTTGTCGGCGCGTCGGCTCAGAAGCGCGGGACCAGAACTAGGTCATGCCGACGACGTGCCACTAGTATCAGTGTTGCCAAGCTGCTTCAACCGGTAGTTTTGGTTTCGCCGTGCCGCCGGACCGATTCTTGCATTCGCGATATCTACAAAACTATGCACACTACCGAAAAACAAATTATATCTCGTGATTCAGGGTCGCCGGCTTCGACTAAACAGATCATAACCCAAAAATGGTAAAAATGGAGTGGAGTTGCCCTTTAAACAAGCTATTGTAACAAAATTTTCTTTGAAAGTTTCATCCTGCTGCCGAGCTTCGAATGAATCACTAAGTTTGTTGAGTAGTAGTTGGCACATCCCTCATCTGTTTTGCCTCACCGGAACTAATTTGTGTGATAAATAAACTGACAGTCAACTAAACCATACCGCCATTGCGATTGTTTTTCGATAGAACTCATTCTGCCATTTTTCTTGTCAGACCTTTGATTATAGTTTTGTCGATTTGTCGCCAGAAAATCTACGACTTCGGGTTCGACCTACCAGAATTTCCAGATTATAATTATACGTATGATTACCCCGATGATTACGGAGAAGAGTCCTCAAGCACCGCAGAGCCTGAACTGGTAAGTCGCTGAAATTTAAAAAAAAACAAGTAACAGTAGTAATTATCTCGGAATTATTCATGGGGTTAAGTTTATTTCTCCTATATACCGTTAATGTAAAAGGTGGGTCGAAATGTGCCTACGATTATTAAACAAAGTTTGAACAGTTTGAGTACTAGAGCAACGGGGATTACCCACCCAATAATCCAGCGTATATCGCACTTCCCAGAGTCAATGCATAGGTCCAGATTCCGACATGTCACTGCATTAGTAATAGTGAAAAATGAGATAATTTTCTAAATCCTCAATTGACAATGGAAAGTTTTTTAATAAAAATATCCACCATCAAAATATTAGCTCTTGCTAAGTTTTATTCAGTTATTTATGATAGATGTTGTTTAAGTCAGGCGAGCGGAAACTCTGCACTAATGAGTTGCATGACTGTGCCAGTAGTCAAGAGCAGTGATGGAAAGAGTCAATGCTTTTTTTAGAGCACAGCTCTTAGGCGCCCGTTTCCGGCTTGAGCGGGGTCGATGTCGCCGTCGCCGTCGCCGTCGGCGTAACCAACCCCAAGGTCACGTGACCCCCCGAGGTCACGTGACCCCTCCCAAGGTCACCTCAAGGTCACGTGACTCCCAAGGTGACCCCGCGTGACCCCCTGGATGTCACGTGACCCCCAAAGTCACCCCAAGACCACGTGACCCCTCCGAGGTCACGTGACCCCCGAGGTCACGTGGTCCCCTCCCCAAGGTCACGTGACCGCCCGAGGTCACCTCGAGGTCACGTGACCCCCCAAGGGGACCCCCACGTGACACCTCAAGGTCACGTGACCCCCCCCCCCCCCCCCCAAGGTCACGTGACCCCCCAGGTCACGCCTCCCCGAGGTCACGTGACCCCCCCTCCCTGAAGTCACGTGACACCCCCCCCTCCGAGGTCACGTGACCCCCCGCAGCATATTAAAGAATGAGGGGAGGAGGGGGGAAGGAGGAGGGGTCTACCCTCCCCTCAGTACCCTTCACTCCTCCTCCTCAAGAGCTGCGCCCCAATTCGGCGTTACAGGGAGTTGTATTTACTTAGAATTACACCAGCCTAAAGGCCCGTTCACACTCTTGCGACCGAGTACGACTGAGAGAGACGAGATCTCTTAAAACTTCTTAAATGTTTTCAGAATGACCGAACACACTGGCATTGTGGCGCCACCTATGCGGTGACCATGGAACTGCATTTCACAAGAGCGAAGGTTTTGCGGGATTTCCGAGGTCAAATGTGCGTAATACCCATAGAAAGGCTCGTTTATAACATTGACAAAAGTTTTTCGAGTCAAGAAAGAAAGGATAATGCGCGAGAAATAAAAAAATATGCCGGACCGCCGAGTTTACACTGCTTCCCAATAGATGGCGCCAGTGTGTTCTCCGGTTTAAGAAGTTTTAAGGAACCCAGGTTTAAGAGGTCGCAAGAGTGTGAACGGGCCTTAATAGAAGTGCCTTAACACTACCTAATTCAAACGCGTTTTTTTTTTTTTTTTAATACGTCTCTAGAGGTAACAATTACATTTCTCACGTACTGTGAAACAACAGTGACGAGGTTCGGGGAATGGGAAGGTAATGTTTTCTGCAATAATGTTGTGTTACCGTACGCAAGGAAGCCTTTCAAATTGTTCAAAACAATTTTGACGTGGAGTGGTTCGGTCACGCCTGGCAAAATCGCCATACGTAAAATACGTTTTGGGTCATTAAATTTTCGTAATATTGTATGTGCTCTAGCTGAGACTTATACTGCGACATTCAACGAGAGCACCATTTGGTTTTCGCTATGGTCACGTGATTCTTACACCAGCCAGTCGGAGTAAGGTGCCATCCTGGAGGGAGCCCTGATGCGCCGGGTGACAGAGGAAATATGGCGGTTTCACCAAACAAATTTCCGTTTCCGGAAAACTAAGCGTGGCCATGCTAATGCCAATTTTTTGCCATTTTTCTCATTAGTCTGCATATACGTTTCGTTTTTGGCTATTTTGTGTATTGGTGAAGAAAAAGGGTGTTGAGAGGGACTCCGCCGACGGCAGAACTCAGTAGGCCGCATAAACCCTGGCGGGTCATTCCATGCCAAACGTCCCAAACCCTGATATCGAACAACGCCAATTTTGTATAAAAATCGTGGCTGTTTGATAATTTCTCAATAAACTACCGCCAAAATGCTATTTTAATATTCTTCATCACGTGAACGCTCTCTGACGTTTCTGCAGTGAGCACAATCTAGCTATAACTTAAAAACTTCCGAAAATTTTTAATTAATTATTATTACTATTACTATTAATAACCCTTATATACTCTGCTCGGATTGTTCTTTCGTGGGATGTCAGACTGGAGTAAACAAGCAGAAAACGAAACCTGTCCAGAATTTTAAACAGAAAGCATCAAGCATAGGTTGGGATAGATGGTTCGGATACATAATGAAAAATACGCAAAAAGAAAAAAAAAAACGAGGAGAGAGAAGAGAGGCACACAGGACAGGGCGTAACTTGCAACTAAATTTTAATACAACACACAAAAAAATATTAAAACCGCACATGCGTACAGAGGATATATTTAAGTATAAAAAAATAGAAGTCAGACGTCATTGATGGATGTCTGAACCTTTACTGATAAAGGACTGCTCCTTATCGGAGAGGGCGATGGAGGGAGCACTGATACAACATTCGGACCATGGGCCCTTATCATGAAGACCTCACGTATTTCACGCTCCAGTGGCGTTTTGAATCTTTCCGCTATATTAGTTTTGTAGAACTCCGGTTGCCATTCCCATCTGTCGCAGTGTACAGCCAAATGGCCAGACGGGGATCGCCTGGTGGAGGCTCAGTGCTCTCCAATCCTATCATCGATGGACCTTCCCGTCAGGTTCATTTAAACCCTACCACATGACAAGGAATTTTCATACCACTAAGTTTCGTGAGTGTGCCATGGGGGTCACCTATAAAATTGCCTTGTCACGGGGTACACTGATAGCAAGTCTTGTGTATTTGGTGAATATTTGGGGTGAAAACACGTTATTTAAACAAATTAGCATAAATTTACACGATGTGTAATGGATAATTCTTTTAAAAATCATGCGAGGTTGTAAAAAAAGGTGTTTTGGTTCGGTTTTATACGCATAACCGTGTAGCCGACCTCCAAAACACGCATCGCCACCGACATGACGACTGCCATGTTGATTTAAGGCGTGTGCACACAGGCGATGTAAAGCGGTCGCGCAACGTGACTAGGTCGCATCGCAAAGAAAAAAGAAAAAAATAGATGGTTACCTTGACGTGCGCGATGAGCGACTCCAAGGCCTTCGTTGGCAAGTCGCTTTTCGAGCACTCTCGCTCGAACGCCGCTGATTGGCTCAGCCACTCCACGATGTAGATCACATCGCAAAAAGTCGGGTCATGTAGCGACTGCTCATATCGCGTCACTTTTTTTCCGCGATCGTCGCTTTTGCGATGAAAGTTATCGCGCGACTAGATCGCATCGTTGGTGTGGACGCGCCTTACGATTCGGTCGATGGTACGGAATGAAACAGGAGGTTTTAGATTGTACGAGATAAAGCGTCCATGGCTGGCTACTTCATGCATATCGGGTCTCAGTACTATGAGGTTTCTTTTTGCCGCTGTTACGATCGGCCACCCAGACCACAGCGCAGCCAGTCAGCCAGCGGCGACCAGACGCCTGGGTTTTGCTCCTGGCATCGCCGAATCGTGTCGACCTTCGCGGGGGAGTACCCAGCCCGCAGCGCGACCACCCGTGGACGCGCTCCCCAGAGAAGGAAGGAACGGAAGTTAAAGGCCGGCCTACAAAACCATTTCCGCGGGAGAAGAGGTTTCCTCCTTGCGACCCGGAAAGGAGGAAACCCCTTCTCCTTTCCACGGAGACTAGCTTCCGGACCTGCCTTTTTCAGGGGAGGAGGAGGAAGGAGTGCTAGAGGAGAGGGAGCGAAGGTCGTTGGGGAGCACTTTCCTACCCTGCGGAAAATGGTTTTGTAAGTCGGCCTTTAAGAAGAAAAGAACAAATCGCGTTTCTCCATGTTGAGTTGGCGCAGAGCTAGAGCGTCGCACTACTGACGAAGTGGTCAAGGGCTCGATCCCTTTAAGCAGCGGAGTGTTTTTTTTTGTGTGTGTGTGTGTTTTTTTGTGTTGTTAAGTTTTGTTTTTCCAATTTACCAAGACAAAAATAAACAAACCCAGAATGATAGAAGGCAAATTAAAGTCTTTATTATCCACTGACGCCAATGGAAAGCCATACAAATATAATTACTACAAATTTCATCCCAGCACGCTGTTTGATAAACAAAGTTTGGGCAGCCAGGCTGAATATAGGCCCTTTACGCAGGGGTCAAGACGACGAGGTCGGTCCATCAGTTCTCTGTGTGCATGGGCGCCCCTTCGTTCTTAGTACTCGTTGTTGTGTCAACCGACCATTACATTTATTTTGTGTTTCTCGAGCTGCAACCTCCTTGCACCCACACCTCCCGGAGGTGTGGGTGCAAGGAGGGTTGGGAGGAAGTTGCGGCATTATACTTCTGGAAGACACAAGAAAACAAGAGGGTTTTCACTTCTCCTCCGTTTCCCCTCCTTCATTCGAGAGTTTTTCTGCGAGCGCTCATGCCTGTGTGTTGTGGTATCCGGCCAACTTGTTTAAAACCAGTTGGTCAAAGGCCTATTTGTCGATGGACGACTTGTAAGAGAGGCCACTCCGTCATAGGCTTCAGAGGCTTCAGAGGATTTAAAAGGAACCCCCTGATTACTTTAGTTTCTTGCTCAACTCTTTTTGCCCTTAATGTTTTTTTGTTCCCCGTGCATGTCCAAGTTCAAGGTACCATCGCGAGAATGATGAAATGCGAATGGCGGAATATGTGGCTTTCAATACACACAGCGTAACCTGGCAGCTCTCTGTGATCTCATGAAAAGTTGCGTTAGGAACGAGGGTACGGCTCCTACCAACCGTATTATCTACTGGGAAATGCTAGACCAGGGATGCACAATTTAA